TATCAAGCACATTTGTACATATGTTGCCATCATTATTTTCAAAACATATTCTTTCTACTTGAGCCTTTGGTACTCTTGCCTTGTCAAGTACTCTAGTACTTGAGCCTACTAGCTACTCTTGTCTCCCTTCCCCCCTTCCCCTCATCCATAGCCCTTTGCAAACTGGTGTGCTCAGAATTTAAGATCTAATACACCCTTAACTGATAGTAAATATGACCAAATACTTCTTCCATGATACATGAAATTCAAAGGATTTCTCACTTCATTAAGAACAAACAAGAACTTAAACTGGTTGCTAAGACACACAATCTTCAAGGAGCAATAGACTTTTATTATTATTATTTTTTACAAAATACTTTTAGAATGAAGCTAGTTTCCACAGCATCTATCAGGAATCCAACTACAGGAAACAATGAGTGACCATGTTCAAGGATATAGATCACAAGCATGTGACAGGGATAATGTGTCCAATTAAGTGAGGACTCTTGCTATATTATTCACTAGCTCCTACACAGAGGATGCCCCAGATCTGACTACCCTGATGGCTCTGCTGAAAAGAAAATAATGACACTGACTGAAAAACCTCAAGGCATGTGCCCAGGCAGGTGACACGCCCTCAGCCCCAATGGGACCGCCAGACCAGGAAGTCTTCTCTTGACAAGCCGCCAGGGGGGATCTCCAAATCTGACAGTCAACTCCTCTGCCAGTCAAAGGTTAGGGGGTTTTCTGAATGATCGATGCTGTTACACTCTTTAAATGCGTGTTTGTGATGCCCTTTCTTAAGTGTTTTTGGACTTGATTCAGGAGGAAAGGAAGAAAATAGGAATGGTTGAAATTCAATGTTGACTGTCCTACTACGCCTCCGTGTTACCATCAGTAGTACCCCATCCCCCCAGTCTCCTCAGACTAGTCACCCGCCCCCAGGGCCCCCAACACGTCACTGCTCTGCACAACGCGGCCCGAATGGCTAACACTGACAAGCAGCCTGCCTCCTCAACCCCCAGAGAAGTCTCCCCATTCAAATTCCCTAAATGTCCTTCCCGTCGTCAACGCAGTTCCGTCAACAGCCTTACAAAATAAATAATAATAAAGATCTTGTCCTTTCAGCCATTCGCCCAAACTCTCCTTGTCACCAACGGCCACCTGGCCGCTCCAGCCCCAGACTCCGCTAACTGACAAACCCTTCCAACCGGTTGTCAACACCACCATCCTTCCCCCGCCCCTCGCCCC